TAATGTAGTAATTTTATTATATTTTTTTATTATTTTAAATTAGAATTTCGTAAGTGTTTTGTTTGCTAACATGCTGCAACAAACAAAAAAAAGAGCGTTCTGAAAGAAATACTGGTTGTAAATCAACTGTTGATATTAAAATTAAAAAGTGTAATAGAGCAACACGAAGGAATGACGCATTTTTAAAAGAAGATCCACCTTTGGCAGAGATGATTGTTAAGATGAATATTACCCATAACCATGCAGTCAATACTTGTGAGTCCTTAAAATTATTATGAATGGACGATGAAACCAGGAGTAGTGAATAGTCTGCGTAGAATTAGTGTAATATGGAGAGCAAATCATTAGGACCAATATCGTAGGCGGCAGTGAAATCAGTTTTACTAGTTAACCCGAGAACGAGCCGAGAAGCATATCGGTTACTCTCTACTCGCTTTCGCTCTTGCTTGTGCACATCTCGCGGCTTCAGATTCCTTAATTGATATGTACTGCGAAATAATATTACATTGAATCATCTGAAATCTTCAAAAGATACCGAGTTTTTACCGACTAAAACCCCTCCTCGAGTGGGAAGATAAACCCTGAAGGTTACCAATCCCCTAGAAGAGAGTTGAAGGTTGGAATTTGGGAGAGGGTTGAGAAAAAAAAAATGGTTAAGCATGGGGGATCCGAGGGGGGGGAGAACCGTCGGAGTATGTGGTGGGGTTTGCGTGGCCTGGCACTGACGCCCGGAGAATTGCTGCGAATGAGATTGCAGACTCAGGGAGAGAAGGTAAACCGGATCCGCATGTAAGTGCCTTGAAGAGGTTTAAAGCGGTGAGGAAGGACGCAGCTCTAGATGGGAATGACGTAGGAGCAAATACTCCTGATTATTGCGTTAAGCACACGGATTTTCGTATGTTGGGCGATGGAGCGGTTTCGGAAGAAAGGCTTGAGTGCGATGAATGCATCCATCCAGTTTAGGGTCCTATCGAAAACGACGCCTAGGTAGGTAACAGAGTTGTTCCACTTGATGGGACGATTGTTTACTAAAATGGGGGGAGGTTTTCGGGACCTACGAGAAGAAAATTGCTCCGCTTTGGTCTCGTTAATGGAAAGTTTCCATTTTCGGTATAAGTTTAGGAGCAGGGGCAGAAACCTATTAATTCTCCCTGTGCATTGGAGAATGGTTTGGGCTTAGTTTATGAGGGCAATGTTGTCTGCGTAGAGAGCTGTCAAAATAGAAGTGTCAGAGGTTAAATAGAATAGGTGATAGTTTGGAGCCTTGTGGGACACCGGCAGTAACGGGTTTACTGGCAGAGAGAACAGAGCCGACGCGTACCCGAAGGCTTCTGTCGGTGAAAAAGGACCTGATAACCCCAACTAGAAAATGCGGAATGTTAAGGGTGATGAATTTTGAGATAAGGCCTCCGTGCCAGACTCGAATGAACGCTTGTTGGATGTCAAGAAGAAGCATGGAGGTGTGACGCCGCTTGTTAAGGTTGTTGGAAATGTATTCGGATACGCGAAGAAGTTGGTGGCCTGTGCCATGATGCCTGCGGAAACCGTGTTAAAAATCGGGGAGAAGGTTGTTCCACGTGGTCTAAGAGCCGATTGAGAATGATTGATTCAACTACTTTGCTCAACGAACGAAGTAGGCTGATGGTCCTGTAGCTTGAGGGAGAGCTGAGAGGCTTCCCTTTTTTGGGGAGACAGATGACAGTGACTTCTTTCCTGTGAGGTTGAAGTCAAAAATTTTGGCCATAAGGGAGGTGCCTTTACTATTAGTTTGTCTACAGCCCCAAGAGACGTGTTTAGCGTTGAAGTCGCCGGCGACGATAGTTGATGCACCCGGGGGGAATAGAAGGGGGAGTTCAGAAATGTCTCTGTCCGAAGGTGGGAGTAAAGAGGGCCGAAAGTTAATGGAACTTCGATGCCGACTGTTTCTAACGAGTCTGTGGCCAAGAGATAGGCCTGTGCTTTAAAGAATTCATAACACCGCCGGCACTGCGGTTTTCACGGTACCTTCTGTAGGATGAGAGACTAATGCGTCGAAAGTTTTATGAAAGAACTGAAAACTCAATATAAGTCGGTTCGTCAAATTTATGTAATAAGGGAATGTATAATTTGTACTGACCTTTAGTTTTTCCATGGGCCGTTTTGACTTCGAAAGGTTCTTCGTATAAATAATCAGAAAAATATTTGAAAGTCAAGGAATTCATGATAAAATCAGAAGCTCCACTATCGATTAAAATTTTGCAGTCGTATTCGTTTGAATGTATGTATGGTAGTCTAGGTGTTTTAACGAAAGCATTATTAATTTTTTCAAAATGTCTTTCAAAAATGTTCTATGTAATTTTGTCTATTGATGTCTGTGAACGAAAATTTTCATTTTCATTTTCTTGGGTGGTATTTTCATCTGAAAAGGTCAGGTCTGTAGGAGGGGTATTGTTATCAAAAGGCTGTATAGGTAGATAAGCGTTTCCGTACTCATCAGAAACGTACGGGTCTTGTTCAACATTAGTTAATTTTTTAACTAGGAAATTGGGTTTTTGCTGGTTTTGGAAATTGTTAGGTCTTTGATTTTGAGAGTTATTTATTCGTCTAAATTGGGAAACAGTTGAGTCATAGACATATATTAATGTCGTTGTAGTAATTTCTTGTCTCGAAAAGTGAGGGAGATGGCGTATAGTTTCGGACTAGTGCTACCTCTTTCATTACACGTCTACGCACTATCGTAAGAGAGATGAATATTGCCCGAAACTTCGTTCCATCTCTTTCTTTAGTTGTACCACAATTCTGACCACTAAGCATGTCCAATAATAAACGTCGATGACTTGAGTATTATTTTATCTATGGTATTATTTTAATGTGTATTGCTGTTAGGATTTCTGTGTTGTTATTGGAATACCAGGTGAAGTTTAGGCGCACGTGGGTGGAAATGTATCTACAACAAAATTATTTTATTCTAATTTCAGTTATGACTTTTTCATCTATTGTTGAAGCCCATTTAGAAGTTGTCAACCAAGTAGGTTTATGCGACTCAAAACCACTCTTGCATATAAAAGAAATGATTATAAATAAACCGTACCCAATTCACACCCCAATTGTACTTCTGTCACGAAGAAAAACGCGTCATGGAATTACTGTAGCTGTAGAAACTGAAAGAAACCTTTTATGTTTACCAAAACGCATGTACGAAACCTTTACTAATAGAGGTTGTTAATAAATCAAAATTTGCAATTATCCACAGAAGGAGCAAATTCAACAAAGCAGAGGTAGTTGAATCCAACAAATTTAGTATCAGGTAGGGAATACATACCTATAACTTATCTATTTTACTAATAATTCATTTTTTGGTTTTAGGATATTTAATAGCGAGTAGGTAGTAAAACTGTTATATGTCTAAATACATATGTTAACATCAGTAACGGTCACGGCCAGCAATTCGTGTATATTATGTACGTGTCTAGTGAACTTATAAACTCAAGAGTATTTTTAGTTATTATCAATAGTGTATTGGTTATTAGTTAATTTTATTTTAAAAGATTTCATTTAGAAAACTAAGCAAGTTTACAATTTAATTAAGAAAAAAGCCGAATATCATAAGTGGATAAAAATTTTAAATAGGCAGGTACCAAAGAAACGAGGCAGGGGTCATTTTGATAGAAAATGAGGAAAAGGCAGATAGGTGGAAAGAATATTTAGAGAACCTATACGCAGGCCCTGCGTTAGGAGATATATTAGATAGTGTGGAAATAGATGAGCTTGGTTATCCCTTAAAGAGGGAAGAGTTCGATGTAGCATTAAAAAATTTTAAGAATAATAAGGCGCCAGGTGTAGATGGGATACAGCAGGAAATTCTAAAGACAATAGGTTAGAGATCGTATGTTTAAGCTAGTTACTCACATTTACGAAACGGAGAAAGTCCCAGAGGATTATAAACGGAACATAGTAGTAACATTACCTAAAAAGAGAGGCGCGGATAGGTGCGAGACATTTAAAACAATTACCTTAACTTCCCATGCGTCAAAAATCATAAAATAGAATTGTACAGAGGAGGATGGAAGAAAGGGCGGAAGAACTATTAGGGGAAGATCAATTTGGGTTTAGAAGAAATAGAGGAACGCGGGAGGCCATTCTAGCTTTACGGGTAACAATAGAGAAAACGATAGAAAAAGGAAAGAGTGCGTACATAGGATTTGTAGATTTAGAGAAAGCTTTTGACAATGTTAAATGGGACAAGATGTTAAATATACTT